GGGATATAAAAACAATAAAGATTATATCTGTTATTTAGCTCTGTACTTCTTATATTCCTTATAATATATTTTTTCCTCTAATTTTCTTATGTTTTTTTGTATATTGTGACGATGCAAATTTTTGCTAGTTATTCAGGCCATATCCTGGCCGAAGATGAGCCAGAAACTCGCGCCTTATCATGAGAGAAGGCGACCGAATTTACTAAGTTGACTTGCGCACCGTTAGTGCACGAGACGCGACCCGCGGCTACTACAGATTTTTTGAGTATGTGAACACCCCATGAGCCAGAACAACGGATGAGAGGAAACAGAAAAGAAACGTAGCTGTCGGGAGGAGCCAAGGACGTACGGAAGTAAGGGCTCGGAAGGAGTGGCTAAAGCGACACTCGGAAGGACGGGGAGATCTTCCCCCGGACGATTGGCGACAGACAGCGGGATGGCCACCTTGCGCTAAGAAAGACGCAAGGGTCCCGCGACCCGATCGCAAAGCGGGAAGAGGAGGATCTCGCGGAAAGCGCGCGCCGTTGAACTACTGTGAAATAGTCGCTGAATGCCGTCCCGGGAGAGAAACAATACAGATAAACAACAACAGATAAACAAGCGTCGAAGTAACAACACCAGACGTGAGGTTCCCATGATACGCGTGATCTAGCCGGGAGAACCAATCGGACGACACATCGATCGGCGTGACAAATCCATGCAACGGCTGCCTCGTGCGCTAAGTGAACCCGGTGCCGGAACCTTACTCGTGCTGTCCATGTCATCCTGCGACGTGGCATCCCAACCTCGTAAGTCCGTGCGACCCAACCTTTAGGGCGCCACCGACCTTCAACGAGTTCCAATTCGCGGTATTCTTATCGCGCCTATGCCGTCGAGAAGCGACGGCAACTAATTCGGAATTACAACGCAACTCTAATACTTATCCTACCTGCGGCTGTACAAAAGCTCGCTTTCTTAACCACTCGCCACCAGAAGGTCGCCTCTCTTCCTCGGAATCTCGTCCCTTTGGTCAGGCAGCTTTTCTCGCTCGCTATCGCGTTCGGACGTGTAGTTTGTTCGCCGTCGGGCCGTACAATGACGAGCAGGGCTCGTCACTTACTGCATGAGGTAGCCGCCGCAAGGATATGTCATGCCGCTTGATGCATCCGATTGGTTCTTCCGGTTAGATCGCGCGCGTTCCGGATGCTTCATGTCTGGTATTGTTATTTCAAAACTTTTGTTTTCTCTCCAGTGCGGCTTTCGGCAACTCTTGGGTTCGCAGTAGTTCAACAGGACTCCCAGGCGCGCTTTCCGCGGGATCCTCCCTTGCCTGCTCTGCNGGTGCGACTTTCGGCAACTCTTGGGTTCGCAGTAGTTCAACAGGGCTCCCAGGCGCGCTTTCCGCGGGATCCTCCCTTGCCTGCTCTGCGACCTGGGTCGCGGAACCTTGCGCTTTTCTTAGCGCAAGGTGGTCAGCCCGCCGTCTGTCGCCCGCCGTCCGTCCGGGAGAAGATCTCCCCGCGTCTTCCCGCGTGTCGCTTTACCCGCTTCTTCCGAACCCTTGCTCTCGTACGTCCTTGGCTCCTCCCAGTACCTCCGATTTCTTTCCGTCTTCTTCTGTCCGGCTTCTTGTGTACTGGCTTATTGTGGGTGATCTCACACTAAAAAAAATATACTAGCCGCGGGGCGCATCTCGTGCACTAACGGTGCGCAGTACACAAAATTAATAAATTCAGTCGCCTTCTCTCATTAGAAAGCGCGAATTTCCGGCTCATCCTCAGCCAGACTACGGCCTGAGTGACGAGCAAAAATTTGTATCGTCATAACATATACAAAAATATTGTATGAAGCGGATATTTTAAAAGCGTGTAACAGGGAGTAGGAAATACCGCGAGCGGTGTCAAAGCGAAGCGAGAAGCAAAACAACTAAAAGCGAATCGTTTTTGTTATCGAGTTTGTTATCGAGCGCTTGAATCGAGCTATGAACGCGAGACAAAGTAGAGTTGGTTGACAACAGACGAACCGAGCAGACGCATACCTGTAATAAGAAATATATTCTTTTCACCATCTGATTCCTCTAAAATATTTAACCGCCCTTTCCATATCCCATCCTTATTAACATCTCACAATTGAGGGCACGTCCGGCATACCGAAAGAAAGTTTGCAAGTTTATTCAAAGTGCGCATTTATTCAGTGAATCAGTGGTGAGGAGACGACGACAAAAACAGTTGCGAGGAGACGACGACGAAGAAGATGGCAAGGAGACGACAACGAGGACGGGTATGAAACGACAACGACGAAAATAATTGTGAAATGTGAGCACCGAAAGCACGGTGAGTTTCCAGAAATACGCGCATATTAACCAGTTTAAGGCGATAATCATGCCGTGACTGGAAGAATATATTATGGCTGAACTGAAAGAGAGAGAGAAGGCTCTTAGGTTAGCGACGACGGGAACAAAAGTCGTGTTTATTGCTCGCATTAAAGAAGCTGACTCTTCGTACGAGACGACAGAAGACGACAGTGGAAAAGATTCTCAGTGCGAGGATAGCCTACATGAACGAGAAGTCGAAATGTACCGACGCGGAAAAGAATTGGCCAAGCCTGAGTTCGAACTCGCCCGACGCGAGATCGCGATGTTACGTGCCAATGAACGCGCAGGCGCAGCCAACCAAGCAAGCGCGATAAACAATATCAACGACAACGCTGTAGCGCTACCGACCGTAAATAAACGAATGAATTTAACGGCGATTGCGGATCTAGTGAACGAATTTGATGGTGTTTTCGGTGATTATGATACGTGGGAGAGTCAGATCAAATCGGTCATAAAAACGACGTATAAACTAGAAGATGATTTTGCGAAAGTTCTAATCGGAAAGAAACTGAAGAAAAAGGCGCTTGAGTGGTTCCATTCGAAGCCGGAACATATCGAGATGACATTCGACACGCTTATTGGAGAGCTGAGGAAGATGTTTCGCCATTGTCAAGGTAAAGTAACATTACGAAAGAAATTCAAAGGGCGTGTGCGAAAGAGAGATGGAACTTTTTGCGAGTACGTCCAAGAGAAAATGATCTTTGGAAATCGTGTGCCAATTGCTGTCGACGAGATGTTGGACTACGCCATAGATAGCATCCCCGATAATACGCTGTGTGACCAGGCACGCATACAACGTTTTGATACGATGGAATCTTTGCTGGAGGCATTCGAGAAAGTGACGATGCAAGATCGACACATAAGCTCGAATCGATCAGACAAACGGATCGATGGCCCAATGACGACGAAGCGAAGCGAGAGGACTGGTGTGAGCGAGAGGAGCGACAATAACGGCGCTGGCAACAACGGAGTAAGGGGACGACGGATGTAAAGCACTGTTACAACTGCGTTGTTCGCGACCACGTGAGCGCAGCGTGCCCGACGAGGAAGCTAGGTACCAAGTGTTTCGAATGTGGGGAGCATAGACATATCGCTTCAAAGTGCTCGAAGAGGGGTAGTGTTGCAAAGGACACTGGCGCTACTACGAAAAATGTTTGCATTGCGAGACAGTCCTCGCGTAGAAGGTATATGAAAGATGTAGTGATAAACGATAAAACTATGACGGCGTTTATCGACACGGGGAGTGACATTTTACTGATGCGCGCGGATGAATATGTAAGTATGGGATCACCACGATTCCGGCCGACTGAAGTTAAATTTTCGGGAATAGGATCCGAAAGTATTGCGGCATTAGGATAATTGGAAGCTAAAATTACGATTGACGGGCATATCTACCCAATTCTTATTTGAGTTGTTTCTGATACGGTGACGCGACAAAAATTATTGCTCCTAATCGATTTCTTAGATACGGTAGAAATTCATGTTAGACAAGGTACGATTGATGTTTGTCCGATTCGCAAGACCGTTGATGATAATCAGCCCGAAATACTTCAAATCGATCTGGAGAGTGAGAAAATAAATAAATTCGATATTTTGTACATTCGAGATGTCAAATCGAAGCGTGCGATAGCGAATTTGATATTAAACTATAAGCCGAATAAGACGGTCAAGACTGAAATCATAATGAAGCTGATTTTGAAAGATGACGAGATAATGTATCAGAAAACAAAGCGCTTCTCGTTATCAGAGAAAATTAGAGTAAACGCTCAGATTGATGAATGGATGAGTCAATCATCCGACACTCTTCTTCAGATTATACGACTCCCGTAGTCCTCGCTAAAAAGAAAGACGGCTCGCACAGACTAATCTTGCACAGATCTGATTCCTCTAAAATATTTAACCGCCCTTTCCACATCCCTCCTTTATTAACATCTTACAATATCTCACCATTTTCAAATGATTAATGCTGTAACAATGTTTCATATTAACATTCCGACTTTTGAACCGCAATCGTCATTAGTGCAACTACTGTTCTGCACTTTTCTTCTCCTTCTTATTTCCCCCGTCAACACGCCTGTTTGACAGATACACATTTACTCAGGTTATAGCTCTCTCACTTTAATGTAGTTTTTTAAATTTATTTATCGGGAGGAGCAGTATATCTGAATAATTATATGGATTGTTGAGGCTATAGGTATTTCAACTGATAGGCATCTCAAATGGCCGCAAAATATTTTACACCAAAAATTGAACATAAAAAAGCTGTCTGCACGATGGGTGCCGTGATTCCTGATTATCGATAAAAACGCATTTAAATGAACGTTTCAATGCAATGTTTGACAATAATTAATCGCAATCAGAAGGATTTTTTATATCGATTCATCAATGTAAAAAAAACTTGGATGTACCACTTCATATCAGAGACCGAACAGCAGTCAAAACAATGGACAACGACAAAAGTGCGCCGAAAAAGACGAAAACTATTATTTTTATCATTTGGGCAGATAATAGCCACTGTTTTATTGAGATTTCCAAGGAATTATCGTGATTGACTACTTGGAAAAGGACAAGACAATAACGGGAACCTATTGTGCGACATTATTGGACCGATGGAAAACGAATNTGTTTCATCAAGATAATACGTTGTCCCACACATCAAACGTCGCAATGACAAATTTGCACGAATTGGGCTTGTCTGCTCATCTACCATATTCCTTGGACTTGAAGACTTCTTCCCCATACGACCTCTGTCCCCTACTGTTTCCGAAATTACAAATTTATTTCCATGGGAAGAAATTTTCGTTGAATGAGGATGTCATGTGACCGTCAATGACTATTTTGTAGAGCTTGACAAAACCTATTTTCAAGATAAAAAAATTGAAAAATTGCTGTATCAGGTGTAGTTTTTAAAAGATATTATATTGAAAAATAAAATAAAATTAGTTTTTTTCCAAAAAACTGTGTTTTACTTGCTTTATTACCAATCTTTTCAAACTATTCTCATATATAAGAGAAAATTAGTTATCATTAATATCTTTCACTCCATTAAACTTTTATGGAAAATCACTTTCTATTGTATGAAAAATCAATCATCTACTACAACTACTACGACTATTACGACTATTTAAAAATTTATTTATTTTTTAATGTCTCTACATTATTAAAACAAGAAGTACTATTTTATTGGAAAAAAGAAAACAAAAACTTTGAATAAGAACGACAATATTAAAGAATCGAAGATAGACCTACGATTTCGTCACTCTACCGCGTTGCCACACGCCACTTCGAGATTTAGTTTTGTTACACTAGTATACGCGCGACATAGAAATTTTTTCGTTTACAACATTTCAATGGTTGGCCATCTAATATTTTATAATTGTACTTAGTGTCCCTCGTCTTACAAACTGTTAAAATGTAATTCATATCTGCGTGTCTTAATTCATGACATCCTCTTATTAAATATAAGATCTGTATTTGAATATTGGCAAATGAGATATTTCTTGGTAATGTCTTAAAAACATATTTGAAATATTTTTTAAACGTGCATGTTGTCTGGCGCATTTATATTAAACATGGCATTCTTTAGCCAATATGTTATTAAAAAAACAGAAAATTTATTTGAATATATACTGTGTTATAATTACATTTTAATTTATATTTGTCCTTACCTTAAAATCGCGAATATGAGAAGAGAGTACGAAGGAAAACTTTTTTCTTTAAAATCTCGCCTCTGTGCATCAATTATTAAAGAAGCTATATGCTGCGCTGAATATGTGCCAACAAGCCACGGAAATCTGTTATGAAGTAAAATGGTGTGTAATCGATTGGAAAGTGATAGAGAAAAGACTAATACGAGTCAACAAATCGATAATGATGTGAACAAATTTCCGAATAAGCATTTCAACTTTAATCTATTTAAGTTCTCATTAATGACGCAATAAAGAACAAACTTATAATCAACATATTTACTACTGACTATTATAACAAATATAAATTTTAAAAATAATATATTAACTATTTTATAATGTGATGCGAATGTGATGTTAGAAAGTACGCTACTGTAATAAAAAATATATACTTATTATATAGAAACTAATTATATATTAAACGGATAAATTATTTTATAAACTTTCTGCTTATCCTTACAAATCGTTCATTATAATGATAGAACAATGAACTTACCTTGGCCTTGCGTTTTTGGCCAAACCGGTAGTAACGATACCTGGCACAATAGTGGTAAATTTTACAGAAGATTTTCCTTTACTATACATGCGCAATTCCTCGCTGACAGACTCCATAAGTGCTGTAAAGTAAAGAACATCTGATACAACGCGATTCAACATTTATATATATCTAAAACTCATCAAACTGAACAATACAGTGCTGAAGATTAGAGATAAATTAACAGGGAACAGTTGTAACATCTTGAATATTTCTAAAACTATAATAGATACGTATGTGTGACTGCGAGACAAAATCAGCCGGATAGATCGGTATTTGTTTGTTAATTCCTTGCTGACTTTCACTGTTCACGAAACGTGCATGTGTACAAAAGTAGGAATTATTTTCTTCATTTTTCAAGTAAATTTCATTGCGTACATAAAATTTGATGATATATTTTTCTTTCTTCATGGCAAAGATATAACATATTATTTTAATAATCACCTACGTTAACGATTTGCATATTTCAATCGATTTTCAACTTCTGGTTATTTCCTAAGTGGAGAAATCCGTTGGAAGGCAAAAGTGTAAAGGCAAAAAATTTAACGATGTTGAGGAAATAAAACGAAATGCGACAAGGTAGCTATTGGCTATCACAAAAAACGACTTCCAGGACTGCTTCCGGAAGTGCGTGAACCGCTGGAAGAAGTCCATTAATTCCAGAAGAGGCTATTTTGAAGGCGATATTGTTCATATCACTCCGGAGTAGCTCTTTCACATGAGATACGCAAAGGTCGGATACTTTTGAAACAGATATCGTATGTGAGATTAGTGGTACATCCATTACTATAACAGAGTGCTAAATAAACATTTGTATCTAATTGTTGTATATTTTAAAACTAAAAGAACATGTCAATAAAATACAAGAGCTCACTGAATAATTATAGTACTAGATGCATCCATCATATTTGTAATCAATTGGGAAACTCACGTGAAACTCTAAATTCGGATCTGAATATCTTATTTAAGAGAAAATTCATGTAATTACTATTAATGCAAATATGATGGAAATACAGCAATCAAAGCGCAGTATTTCTATTCAGCAAGCAATCCAGCACGATAATAAACACCATATGACACTGGCTTGATCAAATCATATCTCTAAGTGGCGCGTGGTTGCGCGGGTAAATGACTGTTTGTAAAATCATAGGTCCGCGTTAGATCCCTTGTATTGCTGCTCTTATCCCAAGTCTTTTATTCAATAAAATTTTTTTTATTGTTTTGAGAGCGGAAAAGAATTAAAAAAATAAATAAATTTTGGAATATTCGAAATTTATTAACTTTTTGTTGTGTGAGTCGAGTCGAAACCAGTAGTGTGGGATGCCCGTCTCAACGCTGTAGAACGGGAGACGGTGATGACGAAGATGAACTTGTCTATTATGTTTTCCGCCTGATACAGTATTTCTAGTGTGACCGACAGTGTGTCGGTACTCGAAAGCTAAGAGTCTAGAGTCGCCTTCTGAGTTCGACCTCATGTTCCTTTTATCCTCTTCCTATGTCTAAATCAGAGGGGATAGTTTTGATGTGTCAGCGTCACATGGGTGTGGACGCTGACCACCTGGATTTTGGTATTGCATTTGCCAGAATCCAGAGCAGCATTTTTGCATGATGACGTTACGTAATTGGAGCAACGTGCGGTCGTAATTTGTTTATGGCAGTCGACACATCTCATGGTTATGCTTACAACATTTTCATGCAGTGTGAAATTACGAGCTTAATGGATATTAATTGATAACCAACTTTCAACTACAAAAATTTATTTATTAACATCGCGTGTGATTTTTTGAAATTAGTATTTATATTCTTACATACGATTTGTGTTTTTGTGTTTGACGTAATCTATATAATTCGTGAAATATCGCCAATATCCAAGAAATAAATACATGCTTGAACATTCTATAGGCGTAAGATAATAACAACCTCACTTGAATCTCTTGTCTTCTTTTGATTTGTATCGTATCTAAAATATGGTAGACGCAAAGGTAGAAAGTAATACATATACAAAATCATTAAAAAATTAGAGGATATAAAAAAACGATAAAGATTTATATCTGTTATTTAGTTTTATATTTCTTATATAACTTATTTTTATATTTTCATCTAATTGTCTTGTTTTTGTGTATACATATATACTGTTTTCTATACTTCGCAAACGTCTAATATGTTTTAGATACAATATAATTCAGAAGAGGGCAAAAAAAATAATCGAGTCAAGCTGATGACCATTATTTTGCGTCAATCGAATGTTCAAGCAATCATTTATTTCATGCTTATAAACGATATTTCGCGAATTATATAGATAATGTCGAAAGCGTCAGTTGTATATAAAGATATGCTACTGGTAACTATTGGTCCCAATAATTCACACTCCATCATAATAAATATATTTATGAGAGTAATTTGAAAAGTTTGGTAAAATTCAATGAGATTGCGCCATAATTCATAAAAAACATGACTGCTGGCAAGTATTATTCTTCAAGTATCTGTCAAAATTTCAGTCAAATGCGACGTGTTAACGTTTGATAGTCATCTAAATCGACTAATTTCGTATTTGCCGTAACAATACAAAAAAAATAAGATCCGTGCCGTCATAAAACATTGTTATTTGAAAAACTTAACTTACTCACTGCCGCGCAGATCAAAGCCAAGTTAAATGAATTTCATAAGGACTCTTCACCAGCGTTCAAAACCGTTTAATTCTTAATAAATGAAATTAACCGTAGCCGTAGGTACTCTGAGGATGTATCGCGCTCCAGACACGTTCAATTTAGACCACTACGAAGAAAATTATTGAAAAAATTCTTGATGCCTTAATGAGAAACCGCCGAGTGCGCGAAATTGTCGCACAGACATATATATAGGTAGAGGGCGCCTCGTTATTGTCGCGTTGAAAACTATATTGAAGGACAAGTATATTGCGTGAATGATATTGTATCTCTCTCGCTTTTTGTTAAGACAGAGGAAAAGACAAGGAGAAGGGTAACGTCATTACAGTGATTGAATATGAAATCTGCAAATTTCCTTTAACCTTTTAGGTACGGCTGAATTCTGCGCAAGGCTATTTCCCTGGACGGCAGAGTCTGACGCGAACTAAGTTTAAAAAAAAATTTTCTTTTTGAAACGATACAGCACTGTCCGTCAGACGTTGCAGTGCTGTATCGTTTCAAAAAAAAAATTTTTGAGTGAGCCACTACAGTGGCGTGTCGTCCTGAAAGATGATATCCGCGGAAGCCATTATAGTGGCGTGTCGTACCTAAAAGGTTAAATTCCACTTTGCATATACAAAAATATCTCACTTTTTTCAAATGTTTAATGCTGTTACAATGTTTTATATTAACACTCTGATTTATGAACCGCAATTGTCATTAGTACAACTGTTCTCCTCTTCTTTTCTCCTTCTTCTCTTCTCTTTTCACAAAATTTTGATATACGAGGGCAGTCCGATAAGTACTTAGCCTACAAAAGAAAAACGAAAATTTTTGAAAAGTGGCGATTTATTTCTCAACATAGTCTTCTTTTAACTCGATACACTTGACCCAGGGATGCTTCAACTTCTTTAACCCATCTGAAAAATACGTTTTCTCGAAGTCTGCAAAGTAGGCCTCCGTGGCGGCGATGACCTCCTCATTCGGCCAAATTGGTCAAATTGGACTACGAGCTGCTGCCCCATCCACCGTATTCTCCAGATTTGGCCCCGTGCGACTTTTTTTTGTTTCCAAACTTGAAACAGTCACTCGCCGGGCAGAAATTTGAGTCGAATGAGGAGATCATCGTCGCCACGGAGACCTTTGCAGACTTCGAGAAAACGTATTTTTCAGATGGGTTAAAGAAGTTGGAACATCGCTGGATCAAGTGTATCGAGCTAAAAGGAGACTATGTTGAGAAATAAATCGCTACTTTTCCAAAATTTTCGTTTTTCTTTCGTAAGCTAAGTACTTATCGGAGCGTCCTCGTATATTTGTGGCGGTCGAAACAACCGGCGATAAAAACAACGGTTGTTCGCACGTGTAATTTGTTTTTTCGTATTTTGTTTCGTGATTAATTTGTTCTTCGGCGTCCCTGAGGACCCCGGACCGTTCACTCTTGGTTGATATCTCAAATGTCGCGGACGCGCTCGCGAATTTTCCTCGCCACCGATTCTCTTCGTGATTTGTACTCGACGCTCCGGACTTGAGTGCGCCCCGTCTCTCGCAAACGCGCGTTAGTGCATCGCGCTCGGGAGTGCGAGTGTCTCTCGTCCGTCGTGCGAAAGCTTTCCGACAGCTTTCGTCGCGATCAACGCCGTCGCGCCCCTTGTGCACGATTTCCGATCCGTGCCTCTCCCCGCGAGGAAGAGAGATCCGCCACGGAGACCTAGCGAGCCGATCTCTTAGCGTTCCGATTTCTTTGTTCAGCTTTGCCCCATTTTGTTTAACGTTGCGTTTTTTAGTTGATGGAATCCCGTTCTTTATTGTGTCGCGTTGCGAGCTTGAAGATTCTTGTAAATACAGTGTTTCTTCGTTTCGTGTGAACAGTTATAAAGACTCCGCATTTATTTGCGCACACCCCAGCACTGCTTCCGCTCACTAACTTTTTCTTAATAGCGGCATTCGCTAAATATTTATAAAAAAAAGAATAGTTGATCTAATCTTCAAAGTAATCCCTCTCATTTTCTATAAATTTCCGCCATCTTTCTGGCAATTGGCGAATTTCATTTTGGAAAAAATGGTTGTTTTGAGTCAATAAATTCAACGAAACTTTTTTTAACCTATTCAACAGATGTATAGTATAAATCAGCCTTGTGATGTTACAGGGATGTAAAGATACATTAATTCGAAGAGACGAGGTCTGAAGAACACGTCGCGCGAAGAAGAATTTTCCAATCCAATTCGGAGATAATCGAAGATATTCCAGTGTTGGTTTTGCTGTGCGGGGCCGCATGTTGTCTTATAGCAAAATCACTTCCCTTTTCTCACTGCCAGTAAAAGGTCTCTTCTTCTCAAGGGCGTTATTCATACGAATTAGTTACTGCTGATAACGCTCAGCGAGCGCAAGCGTAGCATAATATGATAGACTGCACACCGGTCTGCTATGCTAGAGGACCCGGGTTCGACTCCCAGTAGAGACAGAAATATTTTTATTCGCGCGACTTCTTTATGGTGGTCTGGCAAACCACCAAGAGTATTCATGCCATGGAAAGTTCTCTCGAAAAATTTGCCGTTTGGAGCCGACACTTAAACTGTAAGTCTAATGCATGTGTCTATGCATGTGTCTAATCTGCGTACGCAACACATGCATACGTAAGAGAGAAGTAAGCCCAGGTTCTACATGGGCTGTATAGCGTCATTGATGATGATAACGCTCAGCATTGACAGTTTAACGGGGTTTGAGGAATTCAAAGTTAATTACGCTCTTCTGGTTCTACTAGGTACACTGAAAAATTATTTTTGCATGAATGTTTGGTTTTGCAGTGCTGATCAATGTCTCACCTGGATACAGCCCAGATTTCTGCCTCTTCGGATTGTCAAAAATTTTCCAATTTTCATCACAATATTGTGCGAAAAGTCCTTTTTCTTTAATCTAGATAGCAACGACGCGACGTATAATCTTGTTTTTAGAAATGAGTTTATGCGGCACCCAATGGGTCTCCTTCTGGTTCCACCCCAAATTAAGTAAGCAAATTAAGCAAGCATTTGGAAATGCATTGTCAGGTTACTGCAAGTGCATGTGCGAGCTCTGACTGCATGCGACAAGAGATTACTTCCAAAAGTTTTTGGAGTGTTCACCTTAAGGTAAAATTTTACCTTAAGGTTTTTTCTTCAAATTTTTTTGGTTGTCCCGGGCATTCTTCAGCCTGAAGATCCAAATTTCCACTCTTGAATCTTTGGAACCATTTCTTACATGTACTGTAAGAAACACCATCTTCGCCCAAAGCCGAAGAAATAATTTTTTTATTCTCAGCAGTATTTTTTTCAATTTAAATGCGAAAAAGAGGCAGTGCCTCAAATTATGCTTTTCATCACTGTTTTTTGAGGTTATGTTAACAGGATTGCCAACTATTATAATGCCCTTTAAAGCTTAGGCTTAATTCTTTCAAACCACTATATGGCAGGAAGAAATATAAATTTGAGTAGATGTTGCCACTGATTGAATTTTGAGGCCAAGAATTAAATTGCGCACCTAATAGTAATTTTTTCTTAGTTACGTTATAGAATTCAGTATGGAAATTTTGTAGTAAAATTCACTATCTAAACACGTTACTATTTACGTACAAATTCTATTTACGTACATATGATATTTTAATTCTTATAAGATCTTAAATTCAAAATATTACTTTCGTATTCGGTCTAGCTCATTCTATCATTTTGTATGCAAACTAGGATCACGCATGTGATTGCGCTGTTCCTTGTTCGTTGCGAAGGTCGTTTAATAGTTTTTAGAGAAAATATGAAAATAAAATTTTTTATGGAGTAAAATAATTTTTAATTTTAATATAATCTCTCTCAAATTCGATTCACTTTGAACAACGACACTCAAGTTTTTTCATGCTTCCATATAATAGAATTTATCTTTTTTCCAGAATAAGCGTTTACAGCAAGAATTACTTCAGTATTTGAACCAAATCTCTCTCCACCCGATTATTTTTTCAAGTTCAGAAATAGAGAAATTCACAAGGAGCTAAATATGGAGAATTTAATGGATGGTTAACTAATTCAAAGCATAATTCATGTAATTTGGCCGTTGAAACTGCAGACGTACGATCTGTTGCATTGACTCAATGAAAGAGCATCGTTTTTTTTTTGCAATATAGAGATGTTTTTCCTTAATCGTCATTAATCATCATTAAATTGGTTCAATAATAATGCGTAAATATTCTCCTGTGATTGGTTTTTCTTTTTCCAGATAGTCGTTGAGCAATATTCCATGCGCATCCCAAAAAACAGTTTCCGTGACCTATACAGCCGATGGAACTATTTTTATTTTTTGGGCACGTTCATCAAGATAAGTCAATTGTTTTGACCGTTCTTTTATTTCTAGTGTATAATGGTAGATCCATGTTTCATCAACAGTTACAAAACAACGCAAAAAAAACCTTTGGATAACGCTTTGAGAGCCTTTCCAAACAACGCTTTAAAATTATTAATCGATTTCGTTTTCGAATAATTGAGTAAACATTTTGCGAATAGCTTTTTCATACTTAAATTTCCGTGTAATATATAAATTCGTTTGATGCCTGCAATCTTAGCAATCTGACGCTTTTACTTTATGATTTTCTAATACGATATCATGGATTTTTTCATTCATTTATGAATTTGTCATCATTTTGGACGACCTGAACGTTGCTCTGCACGTATGTTTGTACAACTATATTTGAATTCAGCCAGTATTTGTCTGTAACATAATATTGAGCATGTACCGGTGACAAGTATTACATCGTCTGGTACGTAACGTTGGGACAATCTTATTATTTAGATATTATGCCATTACTAGACCAAGAATCAGGAGCCAATTATCGATATTGGGCCAAAACTGCTTTCTTTCTAAAGCCGTATACGCAGCTGTTGCCTTAGATGATTTCGAATTCATCTAGATGAAGATAAGATAAAGATCCGAAAGTTCATCTTAGATGAGATGAAGTTGATATTGCTTTTGATTTAGCTAAATAAAGATAAGATAAGTAGCGAAACTTATCTGGATAATTTTTTACATATTGTTGTTATGAGAAACTTTATACAAATTTATAATAAAAATTACATATACAATAAAATTGCACAACGGTTAAGTAATTCGTTAATGTAGTCGCTCTAAATTTAAGGATTTAACAAAAAAAGACCAATAATCATTGACTACTCACTCACAGTCGACAATATGATACAGACTTAAAGTGAATTGATTAATTAAAACAAATGGTCTATATTTTTAGTTTCACCGCTGAATTCGTGCAATAAGTTAGAGTAAGAAAATTATATTTTGTCTATATCTAATCTCCAATCCCTAGTCTGATACAGACTTAACGCATAGATCTATATTACTTCATTCATTTTATCGAAAAGTGAGTTGAGAATATTGACCATAACATCATTCTAGATCATTTTTAAATGAGAAAATATGTTTTTTATCTAAGATGAAAATGAACATATTTTATATTTCTTCCATCTAGATAAAGATAAAAATGATCTATTTATTCATCTGCAAGATTATTTAGATAATTGTATCTAGATACTGGCAAACAATACGTACATGGGCACAGATAGTAATTATCTAGATAATTTCAAATGGTTACGCGGATGGTATATGTTCAATGTAATATCACATACGACCAAAAGGTCGCAAGTAAGATAAATTGCTCGTACATTTTTATCTTTTCGTAAATTTTTAATTTAACAGATATCTTATAAAATTAGTACTATCGCTGTAANAAAGATAAAAATGATCTATTTATTCATCTGCAAGATTATTTAGATAATTGTATCTAGATACTGGCAAACAATACGTACATGGGCACAGATAGTAATTATCTAGATAATTTCAAATGGTTACGCGGATGGTATATGTTCAATGTAATATCACATACGACCAAAAGGTCGCAAGTAAGATAAATTGCTCGTACATTTTTATCTTTTCGTAAATTTTTAATTTAACAGATATCTTATAAAATTAGTACTATCGCTGTAAATATTTTAGCTTAATGGCAGTCGGATAGCATAATGACAATCGTTTATCATCGATTTCATCGGTAATGAAGATGAATCTGATTACCTCGGATTGCAATTTTTGTAGCGGAGTAAATCGTTCCATGCGGGATGCCATATAACGCTCCCACTGATGAAATTGCCACAATGTGACCGTGATTTCTTTCGATCATATTTGGTAGGAATGTTTTCATCGTCTAAAAATAACGTTCAAACAGTTAGATATTGTTTTTGTCGCACTTTATTTGCCCTTTTTATTTAATATACGCAATTATTTGTGATAAATATAATATAAATATTAGGTGTACAACTTTGCTCTCGCCGTTTTTTTTTTAATTTGATGCTTTATTGTAAAAAAATGGAGATAAAGTTATGACTCAAAGTATTGTCCATCACTGGCCACTACTTTCTCCCATCTTTTGTGCAATGCACGAATCCCGCGTAGAAAAAACTGGTCATTTTTTTAGGTAATCCACGAATCTACCCATTTTCCGACTTCTTCATAAGACTGGAAGTGTTGGTCAGCCAGGCCGTGTGCCATTGATCGGAACAAGTGATAATCCGAAGGTGCGACATCTGGAGAGTACGGCGGGTGGGGTAGGACTTCACATTTCAACGTTTCCAAGTATGTCTTGACCACTTTTGCAACATGGGGTCGAGCATTGTCATGCTGCAAAATCACTTTCTCGTGTCTCTCGGCGTAGTGCGGCCGCTTGTCTTTCAATGCTCGACTCAAACGCATCAATTGAGTTCGATACCGATCGCCTGTGATTGTTTCAGTTGGTTTTAATAGCTCGTAATACACTACGCCGAGCTGATCCCACCAAATACAGAGCATTACCTTGGAGCCATGAATGTTCGGTTTGGCCGTCGATGTGGAAGCATGGCCGGGAACTCCCCATGATTTTCTGCGCTTGGGGTTATTGTAATGAACCCATTTTTCATCTCCAGTCACAATGCGATGCAGAAATCCTTTTCGTCTTTGCCTTTCAAGCAGCTGTTCACAAGCAAACAAACGCCGTTCAACATCTCTTGGCTTCAACTCGTACGGCACCCAATACCCTTGCTTTTGAATCATTCCCATGACTTTGAGGCGCTTCGAAATGGCTTGTTGAGTCACTTCCAATGATTGTGCCAGTTCTTTCTGAGTTTGACACGAGTCTTCATCAAGTAATGCCTCCAATTCAGCATCTTTAAAAATCTTTCCTCTTCCACCGCTATGCCAGTTTCGACGTGAAATCACCGTTCGTGAAGCGTTGAAACCACTCACGACACGTTCTTTTACTAATAGCGATCTCACCATAGATATTTGAAAGCATTTGATAAGCCTCAGCTGCAGATTTCTTCATATTGAAGCAGAAAAGTAAAACCTCCCGCAAATGACGAGAATTCGTCTCGTAAACCGACATCTTCAATCGACGATAACTTTATGGTACAGATACAAATCGACTAATGTAACTATTAGGTTATGTTGACAGATGCCCAAGTTGATTGTATGACGTATATGATCTATTTACTTTGACCACTAAGTTCCACTAAAGCCATCTATAGGGATACGGCGGGAGCAAAGTTGTTCACCTAATATTTTCGCAAATAATAAGATAACATTAATAGCTTTTTTATACATTTTACACATTTTTTCTCTTTCCTTTTCCTTCATTATCAAATACACTTGCCCAATAGTGCGCCATAAGATTAACATCCACGACACGAGAAATTTCATTGATGTCGTAATTTAATAATGTTCGAAGAGGTGCAATACCGGCATTGTTGATTAAAATAGAAACATCTCCAACTTCCTTTTTCACCTTTGCTGCCACTTTGAAGACTTCATTTTTGTCTGATACATCGCATCTATAAGGCCCGAACAAATACTAATTTACTTCCAGAAATGATAACTGTATTGGTACTCACGTAAAAAAATTTTTCAATTATTACGCATTATTTATCAAACTTTATCGGAAAACGTATGAAACAAATTTTGGAAACATACATACCGATAAGCATGTACTAAACTTTTCCCCATTTCTTTGATTTTATTCATTGTCTGCACGTTGGTTTCTTCATTGATATCCCAACATACTACTGTTGCTCCCAAGGACGCATAGCCAATTGCTAATTCTCTCCCAATTCCATGACCTGCACCAGTTATCTGTTACGATATATAATAAAGAGCAAATTATATTTCTTATATCAAGGCTAAAGAGATTGTATCACATTCTCTTCGAGAAATTTTGCAACACATGCCGTAATCAATAGGGATATGTGTCTTCGGAGATCTATTGAAAAATAAAATTCTGTTACTGAATATAGGATGTGTTGCAAAATCAATAAGATATAAATGTTGGAACTTTATATTTTCTAACTGCTCAATCGAGCTTTCAAAGGAATTCCATACTTGACAATATTACCTACAGAACACTGATATTTTTGCAAAATTTATGTTTTATTAGTTGCGCAGAATTATAAATGTTTTCAAACAATAAAAATACGCGTGTAAATAAATTAAAATATTATTCAGTATGTGATGAAAACGATGAAAAATTTCAAAGTAATATCTCCAGCTATCAGTTGGCATAAATATTTACCTGATATACGGGGTGGATCAAATATAAAAGAGCCTTTTGCAAAAAAAACACATAATTTTCAAAATCAATTCTAATTTACATTTTTTTATTTTTCTACATAGTCCCCCATCTTATCTATACACTTCCTCTAACGGTCTGGTAACTTTTTAACCCCGGTAACATAAAAAGTTCGCGGACGTGTATCAAACCAATTGCATACGAACTGCTGCACCTCCTCGTTCGTTGTGAAGCGCTGTCCACCAAGGGCTTCTTTGAGTGGCCAAAACATATGGAAGTCGCATAGTGACAGGTCCGCGCTGTATGGTGGATGTTCTAGGACAGAAGCAATACACTTCTGATCGGAATACCGCGCCTTTTTGAACGATGGGCAGCTCGAACTGTTCCTGAGAGATTTCAAGAACAGTTAAGTGCTGATCGCTTTCAATGAGTTCTCGAACAGCCTCGGTGTTCTGTGCTATTATGCTGGTGCGGGCACGGCACGGGTAGGCAATGTTTTCAACACGCTACTTTCTTAAATTCGTTACACCACTGCTTCACCCGAGCCCATGAAAGGGTTATTTCCCCGAACTGTGGGAGTAAACTTCGCCTAATTTCAGCAGCATTTACATTTTCGTTAACGAGAAACTTAATAATAACACGTTGTACATCTGCGGGCTGTACCTCTTTTTCGCTCATCGTGATTGCTGCTGAGAGTAAGAAGCACGTGGCGCGTCAACGTTATTAATGCTTTTCACATGACCCCCCTCCTGTTTAAAACGTTATAGACCCGTCACGGAGCCGATGGGCGCACAATTTATAAAAGTTCGTTTATATTTGATCCACCTTCGTAGAAATTCTACATCTTGTACGTATCATGTGTCAATGTTACAAAAAAGAAAATTTCAAGATATTATTTTTATATTTTTTTAGTACTATTTAGAGGCCCAAAAGGATATGAAAAGTTTATAGAAAAATAATTATATATCTTGGTTAGATTTCCTATTAGATATGGAAAAACAGAATATAACACATTTATTATACTTAAATTTATATTATAGTCACTTTACGTAAAATAAATATCTATAAAAATAAAAAATAAATAGCATAATCATATCAGTGTTCGTGTGACATAACATTTCGAAGATCACTTCTACGCTATCGACACTTATCAAATTCGTCAACAGTTATAACATCCTTTAAAAGTTCCTTTAAAAGCCAATATCATGCATTAAAAGCCAATATCATGCATTATGAATATGGATTAAATTAGGATTGCGAACTGCGAACCGTTGACCGACTAATTAGGTATAAAACTGTTTTCAATTAAATTGACCAAGAAGTCTTTTCGTTTCTTAAGGAAAGTTTAAAGACGTTTATTTGCAAACTCAAAACTTTATTAATATATTAACTGTTTACTTCAAATATTTTCTTTTATCTTTTGGGGAACTTCATCATTCCGTCCTCGAAGAATTTATCTATTGGATTATAACAAAAGTTCGTGGCGTTTTGTAAATGAAATTCGAAGACGATGTTTGTAAATATTTCTACGTAGAACTATTCAACTAAATATATGTCATTCTATTCCACTATCCCACTTTCTGTGGTTCACCCGTGAGTTTAACCTTACACCTTATTTATTGTTCTACTCTAGCGCATTATTTTTTGCCTCTATTCGCCCTTTGCGGGTCGCTCTTTTTGCAGATCTCGGCCTAGCTATTTGTTGGTCTTATTTGTAATAAAAGTGAGCCCTTTTTGCTGTATACAGTTTTGAAATCAAGGTTTGGTTTAGGCATTATTTCTTTAGAATATCATTGTAGTCAGCTGACCCGTGCGTAGGCTGCAAGGTCTGCGCAGCCATATGAGGTGCTGGTGGTGCTGGCGTAGCGGCAGTTTACACGCTTATCAACATTATGTCCGACGCGTCAAATATAAATCAATTTGGTCACGTGAAACTCACACAAACAACCTTTATAACGGCGTTAAACTACGTTCCGAAGATACAGACGTAAATATAAACGCAAACGTTGCAACAATATAATCAAAATAACCAACAGAACAAAAATCATGAGCGAGGACAAAACTGACAAAAGGTGGAGTATAAAAAAGAATGAGAAGTAATCCCGAAAATATTGTTATCAAGAAACGTCAAACTTCTATTAACGATTATTTGTTAAAAAATCCAGTTGAAACCAGCAACAGTTATGAAAAATTAAATGATGAAACAGCTACAGATATAGAAAAATAAATAGACATCAATTTAAATAAATATATAACAAAAACTTCTTTTCGTAGAAGGATTTGGAACATAATTCCATTAAAACAATTGCTCAATGAGATCGCAATAAACCAGTTTACAATAAAAATACTAAGAAACAACCAAGTTAAAATATAACCGTTTTTCACATAAAAATATCTGCCTATAACGGAACCACTACAAAATGAATGGTACACAAGGTTTCACGTATCAAAATAAAAATGAAAAAAAAGTCAAATTTTTTTTGTGTTCCTAGATGGCATCTGCAATCAGCATCAACTAGGCAAACTAAGAATTTTTGTTGTTAGAAAATTGACTTGTTAGGTGGAACAATCCCACGATCATCATCCCATTATGTACCCAACTATCAGTTTGAGAGTTCCAGTATTTGATATTTTTTTAACTTTTGATTCGTCTATTGTCATCATATAGGATTTTTGCTAATTGATGTGGATGGTTAATCAGTTTTTGATACTATTTTGAGCTTATTGTTTTAATTTTTCTCTGATTGTGGGCATCTGCATGTACACGTGCACCTCAGTATTTTTGATGAAACAAGGAGCTTGTGTGATTAGTTTTAGTATTCTATTCTGGTATCATTGCAAAATCTCTATGTTCGAATTACTAGCTATGCCCCACAGTTACATTCCGTAGGTCCACATTCAGATTTAAGACAGATTTAAGTATAATTTTATAGAATAATAATTTGTTCTCATGACTAAGTTTGGATCTCTGCCAAGTAGAAATATTAGTGATTGTGTTTTATTAGCTAATTTGTTGTGTTTGGAACGAATATGTTCTCTCCGTGTCTATCTGCGATCAAGGTGCATGCCTAGGTATTTCACTATTTTGGTAGATAATAGAGTTTTATTATTAATTGAGACTGTAAGGCAGCTTTTCTGGTTTAGAGTAAAGGTGATATGATTTGATTTCTGGACACATATTTGGATTCTCCAGTCCTGTAACCACTGTTGAAGCTTTAACATATGCATCTGTATGTCTCTGGATACTATTTTTGGTCTCGGTTATTGGATAGTACTGCTGTGTTATCAGCAAATGTAGCCGTGGTCACTCCGTTTGACGACGGTATGTTAGACGTAAATATCGTATCGTAAAATAGGGCCCAGGATCGAGCCTTGTGAAACTCTTGCATTTATTGTGAAGAATTCAGTATACTTGTCGTTTTCCTTGACTTTGAACATTTTCCCCTTGAGATATGATTTTAAGAGCAGATAGAAGTTATGAGGAAGTTTATTCTTGATTTTATACAACAGTCCATCGTGCCACACTATCGAATGCCTGCTATATATCCAAGAACATTGCGGAGCAATATTCTTTCCGTTCAATGGCTTGCCTTACATTATCTATTACTTTATGCACCTGTTTGATTGTCGAATGGTTTTTGCGGAAGCCAAATTGATGATGCGGAATGACGTCGATTTTTAAAACTATTGGATTTAATTAGTCAGGAAATAGTTTTTCGAACAGTTTTGACAAGACTTTTTGCAAACTAATTAGCCGAAAACATGAGTAACATTTCGAGAGTTGGCCTCTCTTAGGAATCGCTATAATCTGGGATATTTTCCAGATATCTAGAAAGCATGAAGTACGAATGATCCCATTAAAGAAAGATGTAAGAAAAATTATGATTTTTGTCGGTAGTAATTTTAAGATTTCGGAAGTTATAATATTAAATCCGGGTGCTTTTTTTAAGGTAGTTCCTTGATCATTGCTTGGATCTCTCCTGAGTTGATTGGCCTCAGGGGTAGATCCATTTGCATATCACTGTTTAGAAATTCCCTGACTTTCGCTATGTGGGAAGTAAAAGCTTCCTGGAGAAATTTTGCAAAAACCTCTACTTTCTCGGCGTCACTGCGAGCCCATTTGTTGTCATTTATTCTCAGAGGCACTTTGGCCGTAATTGGTAATCCAATATTTTTTACCGCCTTCCACAGTGAATATTCATTGTTGCTGGTAGGGTTTAATGATTCTGTTTTACTAGTTAAAGAATCATTGTCTATTTGATTTAGCAGGGATCCAAGTCCCATTGCTGCTTTGTTTACTGCATGTGTAGCTTCCGGTTATCTATCTTTTAGATAAATCGAAAACTTTCATTCATCTAGCGGTTATCATATCATATTCATCTATTAGCTATAGCTAGAACTGTCGATAACTCTAATGTCTAAACCAAGGTTAATGTTTTAGTTTTACCATCTGTCAATAAAATTCAGTATATGAAGGTATACGTTCTCATTAATAACATTTCTCACTGCATCAAAAATGTCGAAATTTGAGTCAAATAAGCGTCATTTGCGCGGTGTCCTTCTT